TTTTTTTTTTTTTTTTTTTTTTTTTTTTTTTTTTTTTTTTTTTTTTTTTTTTTTTTTTTTTTTTTTTTTTTTTTTTTTTTTTTTTTTTTTTTTTTTTTTGTTGAATCTTTTGCATAGTAAATTCGTCGTTTACTTTTCAGCCGGTTGTCGCCTTTCGAGGGGCCAGCGGCTTTCTTCTTCTTACCTCTTTCCTCGTGGGTATTTTCAAAGCCTTGGACTCTGATAAGAAAGGCGAGGCTTCTTCCTACGGTATAAAATATTTACTTCTTTGCTTTGTTTTGATGTGTGAGATCTTGTAACCACCTCTCATTTTGGGATTTCCCCTGCTTTTGATTTCGTTGATACAATGCCGTGGAGGAATGTTGTTGGATCTCTTTTTCGTTTTAAGATTTTCGGCGGCAGGTTTCAGGTTAGTGGGTTACCCAGTTGCTAAATTTCAAGGAAATTTTAATTGCTTTAACTCTGTGAATGATTGATCTGTCCAATGCGTTTTCATGTTGATTAGATTTGAAATTGAAATGTGTTCTTCTTTTTGGCATAGATTGAGATTTTTTCTTGAATTGTTTTGGGAAAAATGGTTTTTGTTCAGATGCTGAGCAACTGTTTGAATAAATGTCTGTGAGAGCTTTAGGAGCTGCAGAAGCTTTGTATGTATGATACCATTCACTTGGTTGTTAAGTTTTTCTTTGATTTGGATATAATGAAACGATGAAACGATGAATCGAAAGTAATGGGGTCTTGTTAGAGACTGGTTATGCTATCTTTTGGGATTCTAGCAAGATAACATATAGTTGTAGATATTCTGGAGCTTTTAATAATACTTTTCCCCTGAAGGGTTTGTTGGGGTTATTTAGGTTGTATCACAAAGAAGGCCACAACTTTCCTCCATAACTAGCGATTGCATTCCACCCATTAATTTCCCATTGATAGATTACCATAATCAAGAGCAGCAAAAGGTATCATCTTTTATGCTTTGTTCTTCTCTCTCCCTTTTTCTTTTGTTTCTTTGCATTAGATTACTGATATCTCATTAGTGATTTGATTAATGCTAGCTCGAGAATATTCGCTCATGATTCTTCTTCTTTCCATAATCATATTTTACAATGGAATGCACTACCATGCTATTGCTGCGAAGTAGAGGTGGAATCTGATATTGTCAAATCCCCGTTGGTTGGAGAGGGGAACGAAGCATCCCTTTATAAGGGTGTGGAAACCTCTCTCTAGTAAACGCGTTTTAAAAATGTGAGGTTGACTGTGATACGGGCCAAAGTGGACAATATCTGCTAGTGGTGAGCTTGGGCTGTTACAAATGGTATCAGAGCTAAGCACCGGGCGGTGTGTCAGCTAGGATGCTGGCCCCAAGGGGAGTGGATTGTGAGATCCAACATTGGTTGGAGAAGGAAATGAAACATTCTTTTATAAGGGTGTGGAAACCTCTCCGTAATAGACACGTTTTCAAATTGTGAGGCCGACGGCAATACGTAACGCCAAAGTAAACAATATTTGCAGCAGTGGGCTTGAGTTGTTATATTTATTTTTTTGTTCTAGTTTCATCGTTTTCGGTTTTTGTGCTTGCACAGAACAACAGAATGAGGGAAGTGCAGCTTGGTTCACACACGTTAAGGTCCGATGGAGTCACCGTTGCGAGGATACACATGCACGATTGGTTTATATTTCTTCTTCTTGTGCTGATTGAATTCATCCTAAATCTTTCCCATCCATTTTATCGCTATGTTGGGAAGGACATGATGACTGATCTCAAATTTCCCTTTAAAGATAATACTGTTCCTTTCTGGGCTGTACACGTAGGTTTGCTTGTGTTTTTCTTGTCTATGAAAACAGATATAAGCTGGAATGGACACTTATGTGAAGCCATTTCCTGTTCTTTTCTACATGTGGATGGTTAGATCTATGCAGTTCTTCTGCCAATAGTAGTTTTTCTGTTCGTATATTGGCGTAGAAAGGATGTCTATGATCTTCACCACGCCATACTAGGTGAGATACGTTCCTCATTATTTATTTCCTTTATCCACGTCGATTGGAGAGATGAACAAGTGCCAGCAAGGATGCTGGCCCCGAAGGGGGTAGATTGTGAGATCCCACATCACTTGAAGAGGGGAACGAAGCATTATGAGGGTGTGGAAACCTCTCCCCAGCCGATGCGTTTTAAAAACCTTGAGGGGAAGCCTGAAAAGGAAAGCTCAAAGAGGACAATATCTGCTAGCGGTAGGCTTGGGCTGTTACATAGCTGATGTAAACTAGCATTCCGTGCAGGTCTCTTATACTCTATCTTAGTAACAGCAGTCATTACCGATGCGATAAAAATTGCAGTGGGACGACCTCGACCGAACTTCTTTTGGCGTTGTTTTCCCGACGGGAAAGATGTGTGTTTCCTAAACTTCTGTTTCGATACACATCTTGCTTGGCTTGACATTGCATACTGATATCGTGTTTCTCAGGTTTATGATAAACTAGGCAATGTTGTATGTCATGGTGATGAGCATGTTATCAAGGAAGGGCATAAGAGCTTTCCAAGTGGGCATACTTCATGTAAGTTACAAAATGTTATTCTTTCCCTTCTAAGTTGAAAAGTAAGCCATCCCTTGCAAGATACAATAACGACGCGATTTTCGATACCGGGAACGGTATTCTTTCGACACGATGCAGTGTCTTTTGCTGGTCTCGGTTTCCTGTCATTGTATTTATCAGGGAAAATCAAAGCATTTGACCAGCGAGGCCACATTGCAAAACTCTGCATTGTTTTTCTTCCCTTGCTTTTCGCAGCTCTCGTTGGCATATCTCGGGTGGACGACTACTGGCACCATTGGCAGGATGTATTTGCTGGAGGTCTGCTTGGTACGTACTTTTTTCTTTGTCATCTCGTCACATTCGCATCATGTACATTACGATAAATAGTTATAAAAGAGCTCTACTTTTGCAGGGCTGGTCATATCTACCTTCTGCTACTTGCAGTTCTTTCCTCCTCCATACAACTCTCAAGGTATGGTTTTGACCCCAAAATCGATTATCTATGACGAATCAACGAGATGTGTGCCCGTTGCAGCTTGCTCGTTGGTCATATCTAAACCATGGAATGTTTTTACTGATTGTGGCTTGTAGGTTGGGGACCGTATGCATACTTTAGAGAGTTGGAGATGCTTGCTACTAATACTCGACCTCCAACGAATTGCACATTTGTGGTCAATCAAGAGGATGTCGAACGACAGACCGGGAACGAGGAGGACGACCGAAGCAACGGTAGATTTCTCTTACTGTCCACCGATTCAAATTCTTGTTTGTCAATGCAGGAAATTGAAAGTGAAACTGAGGGGAAATAAGTGCTTGCATATATGTATATTGTTGCTTTGGAGGCTTCCACGGCACAGCATTGCTTGTATGTGTGTGGTGCATTAAACAATACGGATCGTTTGTATAGCAGTGTCTTCTTTGAATACACTTTTTTTCTTTTTACTTCTGAACTCTTAGTCAACAATATATCTCACCTAATGGTTAGTTAGGTAAATAATACATAGACATGTCTAAGTCCACCAAGTCTACGAGTAGATATTGTCTATTTTGACCTGTTATATATCGCTGTCAGTTTCACGATTTCCAAAAATGTGTTTGCTAGAGAGAGGTTTTCATACCCAACCTCCCTTTATAAGGAATGTTTTGTTCCTCTCTTCAACCGATGTGAGATCTCAAATTCACTGCCATTAGGGTCAGCATCCTTGTTGGCACACCACTCAATGTGAATGTGTCTGTGGTTATGGGCCCACCACGTTTCTTTCTCTCCTCAACCGACCCCCCTAGGGTCCAACGTCCACATTGGGCGGGGTGCTAACAAGGACGTTGTGCCCCCAAAAGAGGATTGTGAGATCTCATATAGATTGGAGAGGAAAACAAAACATTTGTTATAAGAGTATGGAAATCTCTTCCTAGTATACACGTTTTAAAGTCTGAGGAGAAACGTAACGTAGAAGGGAAAACCCAAAGAGTAGAATATTTGTTAGAGGTGGGTTTGGGCTGTTACAAACTTGCAAAACTCGAGTCTAAACGGGGCATAGAATCTCCATCTAAACGAGTAAACGAGGAAAAAGATTTCTCCTTTTTGAGAGATTTATATATAAATAAATGAAATGAAAATGAGGAATAGAAGTATATTAGAATTGAAGAACATGCACCAACATATGAGGGCCATCCAAGTTAGTTAAAGTTGTGACAAATAAGCAAACCATTTGTCCCAACTTTGAATGATTATCACTACGCATCCAACCCTCTCTTCCTCTCCTTTCTTCATTCAGATTTAGATATTGAAACCAACGCCACAATCATTCAACATTTGCTTAATCAAACAAAAACCCTTACAGATATTACCAATCTTCTGATTAACAACTCCCATCTTCTCCAACTTCTCACATGCTTCAACGCCACGCCAAAACACCAAAACCCTTTTCCCTAACAACTCTCCCTTTACCATAACATATACATATACATATACATACACATATACATACACATACACACGTGTGGTGGGTTAGCTATATAAATCATGAACATTCTTGTCTAACTTCCATTGGGTTCCAATGGAAGACGACATGTGCCCGCCATTGCCGTCCAGTCTTTCTTCAACCGCCGAAGCCTCTCCAAACTCGCCGGAACCAGAGAATCTCTGCAGCCTGCATTTCGTTTCCATGTACCACTCCATTTTCCCTCCATTATTATCATCGTCATCTCTTTCATTCACGCCCTCGCCCTCCTCCTCCTCCTCCTCCTCCGCCGATGACGACTTCAACAACCCCTGCACCGCCACTCCCACTTCCACGACCGACGATCTCCTTTTCCAGGCCCGGCTTATATTGGAGCACCGTGAGCTTTGTCAACGCCATGATCTCTGCCTCCGCCGCCTCCGTCAAGTCACCGACGATGTAGATTGTCTTCAACGGGAGAATGCGCAGCTCCGGTTGGCCAACGCCGAGCTCATTAAGATTCTTTCGTCGAAGACCGCGGTTGATGATCTCCAATCTCTGATTGGAGGAGGGCAAAACGGGGAGGAAGTTGGTTATGAAATTATAAGTCCGACGAGTGTTATAAGAAAATACAACAGCCAGTTCGACGGAAGGAACAATCGCCGCCGGACCTCTCTTCCCAAAAGCATCTCCGTCCGCTCTGCAGCTGCCTCCGCCGCCGCCGCTCCACTCAACATCCAGTCGGTAGAATTTGTCAACTTTTATCTTTATTTGTTTTACATTATGTATTATTTGAAAACCTAATTAATAAGTAATTATTATTTTTTAATAATACCATCGGACAGCGGCGGGTGTGTGGTCCGGTGGAGTTGGAGGTGTACAAGCAGGGGATGGCGAAGACGGAGCTGTGCAAGAAATGGGAGGAGAGCGGGGGGTGCCCTTACGGGGAGCATTGCCGGTTTGCCCACGGGGTTGAAGAGCTGCGGCCGGTCATAAGACACCCACGTTACAAGACACAGATTTGTCGGATGGTACTGAGCGGTGAGAAGTGTTGTTATGGTCACCGCTGCCATTTTCGCCACTCTCTCACCCACCAGTAGGGGAAGCTGCTGCAAACTAATAAGAATGAAGAAACCACCAATAATGACGTTCCAAGAAATAAGGCCAAATTCTTTACTTGGCTTCTGTGTAGTGTACATAATAATGGCCTTCTTCTATTATTATTATCATTATTATTTTGATTTATTTGTGGAATGATTTAATAATCTTGTTTTGTTTTTTGCTCTTTGAAAAGTGGATCAATATTGTAATAATTGAAAAGGTATTCAAACCGAATGAAGTCTCGATCCAGCTTGGCAAAGATTTATCCTATATGGCATTAAGAATTCCTAAATGGAATAAGATTATATTTCTCGTCCTACCCAAATAACTATCCTATCTCTATATATAAAATGATTTTTTTTAAACAAAATATTTTTTAAAAAATATTAAAAAGAAAAAAAGAAATTGGAAAACCTGATGTAGCACGTCCTCCTCCGAAAACCCCACTCCAATTCCTGCAAAAATAAATTTGAGAAAGGAGATAGGACGAGGACGAAGTAGACCATGTCCTCTGTGAACATCTCTATTCATACACTGATCGAACATTCTTGAGTGGTTTTGGTTAACCAGAAGGAATTAGACCGCGTTAACGTTAGTACATAGTAATTTAGTTTATACACAAAAAAATATAAATATCTTTATGATAATATCAACTTAATTTTTATAATTTATAAACACAATTCATCAAACCAGGAAAGAAAAAGCAAGTGAAGAACATATAAAACGAAGTGGAGAAGATATAAACTAAAGGGGTCCAGAATTTGAAGGCAACGCAAGAAAACAGAGAAAAAGAAAGAGAAGGTGATGACAGAAGCATAGAGAGCACAAAGGAGTGAGATGCCATTAATTAATACCCAAATGCATTTCATCATCTGTGCTCTCTATCTTCTGTCAGCAACAACACATACCATACATACATATCACAAGCAAATCAATAAGCTCAGAAACAGATTATTACAGCACTTTCTTTGTATAGCGATGAATGAATGACTCAATGAATGAATGAATGAATGTCTCCATTTATAGGAAAAGGCTATGGCTTTGGACTCACCCTTTTGCAGCCGTAAAACCCTCTTCGTCCATCACTAAAGTGCCCAACACCCACTTTAAACACCACCATATATTCTGCTTACACACTTTTTTACCTCTTTTTTATGCCTTTCTCTGCCTATTTTTGGTTAGTTTCAAATTTGTGAACACATTCAAATTAAACTTCATTCCAAAAACTTCTCCATTATATTACGATTCTCATCTTTACTTTTTCCTTTTTTGGTGTTATAATCTTTCTTACTTTTTCTCGGTTCATTCTAACCTTTACTTTTATAGACATATCGGTTCGATATTTCTTTCTGATGAGTTGTAGGGACCCACATTTTCTATGCGGTGTGATGTTAGATATCGGTGATAGTATTGAATACAACAAAATACATTTGAATTCTATTGAGGATGATAAGAAGTGGACACTATACACAAACGATCTCATTTTCTTTCGTGAAATGATTCAAACTTCTAACTTTTTTTTTTTTTTTTTTTTTTTTAA